TCGGGGGATTTTTTTTTTTTTTTGTTGTGGGGGGGGGTGGAGGTGTTCAGTTGTTTTACCATCTTAATGGGTCAAGTTTCAACTCTCATATACAAGAAAATCGATTTCAATTCCACAAGAATAACAAAATCAATAAAATTACACTGTTAAGCATGTCCCACTAGCAACACTCAAAGCAAAGTACAACAATATTAATTCGTTTGTTTTTAATAGTCATGTATAAGAAACTAACAGCACTAGAAACAATCTACACAAGAAAACAGAACTCAAAATAGGTCAAAATTTTCAGCAAACAGCATTCTTACCATAAAACCTGATACAGCTTGAACTATCAAACTTAAAAACTTGATACCCAAACTCAAAAGGAAAATAAGTTAACAGTTTCATAAAGGAATCAATAGGATAGTCACCAATCAAAACATGGAAATTCTAGTGAAAAGGGGAAACATTCAATATATTACATAAATAATGTACAATCCAGAATGGATATTCTGCACACAAAAAAAGAAAAGCATGGATACTTACTTTGTGAGTCGAAAAGGTGCTAAAGGTAAACATCGTGCAATATAGACAATCAATCTACACAATGTTATTCATCCTCGCACTAATATTTTTCAATCAACAAAAACTATATTTCAATAAACAATTAAAAAGTAGATACATGAAGGACAAGAGATCCTCCAAAAAGTTTCAAAAGAGAAAAGAAAATAATGCAATAATCAGCATACCAAATTACATCTCACAAATAGTTCTACAATCTGTCCTAATCATAAACAAAGGAACTTCATCAAGCTCAAGGGAAATTGAAACCCCAAGGAAGCCAAGAATAGAACCCTTTCCCACGTCTCAATCTCTTCCTTGAACTTTGAAAATACTACATGTCAATGGTGAAACTCCATGCACGGCCACTAAAGAAAACAACATTCTCCAAATAAATCGTTATAATTCAGTTTCTTATATTCAATAGTCCAAGAGAAAATTTGAACATTAAGACTCACTTTGCTTTCCAAATCATCTTTGAAATGACAAAAAGTGTTACACTAGAATCATCAATGAGAAAATCGCAAAAGCAGTTACATGAATATGCCTTGGGAAAAAAAATAAACCACATCTCTCTATCTAAAACTGAATTGTCTTAAAGCGACCCCGTCGAATGTGGAAGCAAGAGATGAAAGTTCAACACCTCTAGGTCATTAAGATTACAAAATAGAAAAAAAAAATTCCAATTGATAGGAAAAGAAGATGAAAATCATAAACGCAATTGTGAAATTATGAGATCGGGATAAGGGGTACAATCGAGGAGATCGAATTAAAAAAGCAGTCTTTCTCCTCAACCAATTTTTCTTTTTTTGGTAATTGGATATTTTCTCTATTTCCCACAAAAAACATAGNGGAGATCGAATTAAAAAAGCAGTCTTTCTCCTCAACCAATTTTTCTTGTTTTGGTAATTGGATATTTTCTCTATTTCCCACAAAAAACATAATATACCAAGTGAAATAAGACACAACCTAAGCTATAGCACCCGATGGATCCCAAGCATTTCCCCAATCAATAACACAAGAATCCAATTCATTTACTTGAATCTCATACTTGTTTTTACCATCCCTTCTTTAAATAGAAGAGAGAGAAAGAAAAAGAAAATATATAATGATCGCGCCATAAGACCTTATTTGTTTCTACTTAATGTTATTTTCCTCGGGTTTTTTACGTTAATTACATAAAATAGCTTGCTTACTTAACACTTGCACTAAGGCTCTAATTAGAGTCAAACTTAGATTTGAAAAAGGAATCTTTACCTTATTAGCTTGGAGTACACAAAGACTAGAATCGAACAATGACGAGATTAGTTGACAACAGTCAAAAGATGGGCACCTAATTCCAATACAATAGGGGCTTATTAGTGCAAGTCAATTGAACACCATGATTGATGAATGGGTAAGTAAGTGGGTTAAGTGCACCTCTCGCCTAGTAGGAAGTAGTGGGGCCTTCTTCCCGCGTATGCGCCTTTATATCCGGATTAAAGGAAACTTACACATCCGATTTTTTTATTTTTTTTTTTTGGGGGGTGGGGGGAGCTCCTATAAGATCCGCCTGCCCAAGGAAGAAAGAACAATCAGGACAATATTCACTTCTCTGTTAGGTAGCCTCCTCACTAAACACAAGTAAAAGCTGGATTGTTGAGAATGCGGGGCCCTCCGAAGGACTAGTTTTCTTACATAAAGCAAGACTCCTTTCAACTTTATACCTAGAAACAAGATCCCACTTTACCAGATGATTATTTTTTCCCTCCGCATTCTCCTCCCGCACCTACTATCTCATCAACCTGGTAATTCTCCTTGCCACCTTTGAGGAGATTTTAAAGATTAACACCTAATAAAAAGGAACACTGATATCGGATACAACCGCTTGCCTCAACATCAACCTTCCTCCTTTCAATATCACAAATTTTGTCCATTTATCTAACTTGCCAATTTTTTCAATCATCGGCTTGCAAAATCCTTGAGATCAAGAATTCCTTTTCCAAGGGAAGATCCAAATACTTTATAAGTCCTAATTCCCAAAGAGTGTCCCAAATGCAATATAACCAAATGTACAACAAGTGTATAAAACATGCTCACCACTATACAATGATTTAGCCCCCCGTGGCCAAATGCCTGAGTATAATTAAAATATAATCCCTATCCTTTCGGCCATTACTACATGCCCACAACTATCACAATCAAAATGAACTTGGGCTCTCTACATCCCAAAAGATACTTCGATAAATTTCCTTTGAACTAAAAGAAGACCAAAATTGGAGAAAGAGATATGAGCGGAGAGGAGTAACTTACTATGCAAAAACATTAGACCATTTCGTTTGATACAGAAACCGTTGGACAAATATCCTTTGAAGAAAGTGCTAGTGTCTTGGAGCACAATGAAAAGACCAATGTTACTCAAAATTAGGGCAAGATTATGGACAACTCTTGGGTAGTTCACCCATTACCCAAGTTGCTGACATCTCTAACATCCACGTATGGTCCAATAACAGTGTTTGAAGAGATATAAACAGTATAATATACGTAATAACACCAAGAAAAATTGCCTTTATCCCTTAACTTGTCTTTAATAATGATATCCACCATAAGCACAATACATTCTTGTTTACCCTTTAGTGCTTTACTTGGGGAACATGTGCACAAAACTTATACTCCAAACGGAATGAGGTTAGGAAGGCCACATGAATCCACTGTTTTCTGATAATAACTATTGCTCACATGCAACTAGCGATAACAAGGTGTCAAGCTTTTAGAAAAATCACATGAACCANCTGTTAGGTAGCCTCCTCACTAAACACAAGTAAAAGCTGGATTGTTGAGAATGCGGGGCCCTCCGAAGGACTAGTTTTCTTACATAAAGCAAGACTCCTTTCAACTTTATACCTAGAAACAAGATCCCACTTTACCAGATGATTATTTTTTCCCTCCGCATTCTCCTCCCGCACCTACTATCTCATCAACCTGGTAATTCTCCTTGCCACCTTTGAGGAGATTTTAAAGATTAACACCTAATAAAAAGGAACACTGATATCGGATACAACCGCTTGCCTCAACATCAACCTTCCTCCTTTCAATATCACAAATTTTGTCCATTTATCTAACTTGCCAATTTTTTCAATCATCGGCTTGCAAAATCCTTGAGATCAAGAATTCCTTTTCCAAGGGAAGATCCAAATACTTTATAAGTCCTAATTCCCAAAGAGTGTCCCAAATGCAATATAACCAAATGTACAACAAGTGTATAAAACATGCTCACCACTATACAATGATTTAGCCCCCCGTGGCCAACTGCCTGAGTATAATTAAAATATAATCCCTATCCTTTCGGCCATTACTACATGCCCACAACTATCACAATCAAAATGAACTTGGGCTCTCTACATCCCAAAAGATACTTCGATAAATTTCCTTTGAACTAAAAGAAGACCAAAATTGGAGAAAGAGATATGAGCGGAGAGGAGTAACTTACTATGCAAAAACATTAGACCATTTCGTTTGATACAGAAACCGTTGGACAAATATCCTTTGAAGAAAGTGCTAGTGTCTTGGAGAACAATGAAAAGACCAATGTTACTCAGAATTAGGGCAAGATTATGGATAACTCTTGGGTAATGTTCACCCATTACCCAAGTTGCTGACATCTCTAACATCCACGTATGGTCCAATAACAGTGTTTGAAGAGATATAAACAGTATAATATACGTAATAACACCAAGAAAAATTGCCTTTATCCCTTAACTTGTCTTTAATAATGGTATCCACCATAAGCACAATACATTCTTGTTTACCCTTTAGCGCTTTACTTGGGGAACATGTGCACAAAACTTATACTCCAAACGGAATGAGGTTAGGAAGGCCACATGAATCCACTGTTTTCTGATAATAACTATTGCTCACATGCAACTAGCGATAACAAGGTGTCAAGCTTTTAGAAAAAGCACATGAACCAGACAAACTTCGGCGCACGAAAACTTCTTGCATATTCATGCCTTGCTCAGTCTAAAATTCTAACTAAGTTTATCCCCACGTCTTGCCAAACACAATGCATGTCGTCTTTGGCCAAAATCTGAACTAGTGAACTACAAGAAAATTTCACACTCTAATTATCCTCCATGCCACCTTCCCACCCCCCACAACAAAAAAGGAGAACGGAAGTAAGTTACAGCGCATTAGCTGCCAAATCACACATGAATAAATAGCTTAATGGAAACTTCTTGAACGAGAAAATACAGGGTTTTTGTCCTCTAGTTTGCATTAGCAGCAGCCACCTTCTCAATAACATTCAATGAATTTTGACCCTTCTTAAGAGGAGCTTATGATGATTTATGGCTCCCTTACATGCCACATTCCCCTTAACGATTCACGCGATAATGTAATATACGGCTTTCGCCCCTTGCCCAAGATTCCCACTGCAAGAACATTAATATGATAAGGAAACTCAAAAATCTCAAACGGCATACACTCCTGACTTCACAGATTTGTCGTCAGTCACTCCACAATCCACCTTCAAATCCAACATTCAAACAAGAATAAAATATAAAAAATTTCAAATCTAGATGGAAATCAAGAACAATGTAAGAACAGTAAACCTCACCACCAGATCACCGGACTCGAATCGACGAGCGTAATCCTCCGCCACAATTGACGCCGCAGCCGCTTTCCTCTGGATAGCGGCCCGCTTGGTCTTCGCCGACAACAACTCATCTCCATCACCTCCACCACCGGCGCCGCCTCCATCCGCCACCGCCGGCACAACCGGTGGCGGCGGAGCAACCACAACCTTCGGAACCTTGACCTGTACGGTCCCGTTCTGCTCCCTAGCCCTAATCAACCACGGGTCCTTCAAAAACTCCTCAACCCTAGAAATTTCCTCCACGAATGCATTCCTCGCCTTCTCGCTCTGTAGATTCTTTGGAAACCCTAGCGAGCAGTAGCAGATTCGCCGACTGCAGAGAGAGAAAACACACAGAACACACACTGTAGTGTGAGAAACAAAAACAGAGAGATATAGTGATATATATTGATATAGATAGAGAGAGAAACGTACCAGGTGATTGGGCAAGCAACGTGAAAGGCCATACGAACATGGATTTGAGAGATTTTAAGCGATCGATTGTTTAGCAAAATGGACTTTATGTCCCAAAAAAAAATATTGGAAATTAGGAAAATAAAGGTAACACGAGACAGTACAGTAAGCTTTGGGAGGAGAGAGACGTAGAAGGGGGTTAGGGAAAGAGAGATTAGGGGCGATGTTTGGAGTTTTTGCCCTTTTTGGATTTGAAGCAATTCACCAAATAGACACGTGAATAGTGTGGGTTTATATTGAATTTTCATGAGTTTGTATTAAAAAAATATTTTATTTATATTTAATTTATTAATTAATTCAGGTTTTATAAAGTGGGATTAACCTGTGGGTCAGTTTATGGATCGATCCGTTGGTCATGGTTCAAAAACAAGTCAACTCGTGGGTTATATAAGTCACGGGTTAATCGTCGATTGACCTCTTTGTCTCTCAGGCTTGATAATCGTATTGAGTTAAACAGTTTCATGTTGGATGAAATGAGTTTGTGTGAAAAAAAACTCTCTATCGATACTCTATTCGTTTATATAAACAAGTTCAAGTATTACACTCATACACCAATCGTTTATTAGATGAGTTATTCAATACAACTCGTGTGTCACTTGCTAAATAAGAAAATAAGTTATAATATTTCAAGTTCACACGAAAAATTATCAACTCGGTACATATTACATATGTTTGACCTATTTACTATAACAATAAATTGTGGCTAAGCAAAAAAATAAAAACAAAAAATAAATATTAAATGACTATTTAATTTGAATAAGTGTAAGAGATGGAAGGTGTGAAATGAAGCAGAGACTGAGAGACCTAATTTTTTTTAAAAAAAATTATAGTATCACTGTTAACAGATTAAAATTGGTTGAAACGAGTTTATGAGTTTAACACGAAACCGATTTGTTTATTTCACAGATCTATCGAATCAATCCGTTAAAACTACACTAAACCCGTTAAATCTGTGTCAGGTTCTTGTCGATTTTACAAGTCGTATCTATAATTACTAGACCTATGTGTCTTGTGTTGTGTTGGGTTGGGTCAAATCATGGGTCATGTTGTGTGTATTAGTGTATTTTTTTTTTGTATTAATATGTGTGTATTTTTTTCGTGTATTAATATATTTATTTGATTTATTACTTACGTTATTTAATAAAAATATAAGTACTCAGTCAAATGAGTACTTATTTATAATTCATATTAATTCGTTTAATTAAAATAAATTATATTACTAAACCTATTTATTTATGAACAAATTAATAATTAATGAATTTAAATTGTCACTTTTACCTACCCCGTAACCTTAATATACATTACTCTACTTAGCTCATCATCCGTTAACTCAACGAGTAGAATTGTCTTCAATATCATTTTTCACAACAAATAATTGGTGTTCATTATCGAAAATGTTCACTTTTTGATTTTTAGTGCCCAATTTGAGTTTGATAAATTTTTGTTTACTTTTACATTTGGCTAGTTGTTATACACGTGAATTATTTTGAGATAGTAAAAACAACGTTAGAGATTATGATAAATGCAAATATCTATGAAAAGTTATTTGAATTAAGCCCTTGTTAAACTCTCGAATCGATAAATAACTCTGCCTACACTTAAGTTTATTAAGAATGATCATTTTTTATTTTTTGTCTATTATCTATAATGATATCGACTTGATAATCTCTTATAATTTTCAAAGAGGTTGCAAAACAATCCATAATTTTTTATTTTTTTTTTTGTCTTTTTGACAAAAGAGTAATGCTACTTAGGAAAATTCTATTAACTCAATTAGTTATAAGGATTTAGATGTAGATAATGCTTTTATTACAATAATTATTATAAAATTATAAAATAGATTTTATATAACTGGTGGTTAGGAATATAATATAATATTTTTCTTACAATAGTCATTATTAAATGACACAAATAATATATAAAGTCTAAAAGCTAAAAGAATTTAATACAATAAAAGACGATGGAGAATATGAAGATTCAAGTGAAATTAATAATTAATGTATACACTTAAGATGGGAAAGCAACTCTTGGATGAATTGCAAAATTAACTAACTTTATAGTATTAATTAATTAAGCCAAAAATTAAAGTAAGGATTAACTTGACTTTGTAGCATTGTTCAATGGTATATTTGGAAATCAAAAATTTTCATTTTAGCAATATTAGTAGTAGTACTAGCAATGCATCACGTGCGTTGCACGTAAATAATTTTCGTATACAAAAATTAATAATTTTTTTTAAATATATGTGTATCTGAATTAAATATTATCTTAAATTTATTAAACTTATTTTTTTATCCCTTATACTTTATTATATAATTATGAAAATTTTGTATGTTCCCAAGACTTTTTGTTCTAACTATAAGAAAATATATTAGAGAAGAGTTAGAGTTCTATTGTTTTAGAATTTTGTGATTGAGAGTGATTTTTAGTAATGTTTGAAAAATAAAAGTTTTTGAAATTCATTTGATTAGGATTCCACTTATAATTCATTGAATAAAATAAAAATAATTGTCAATATACTAATCATATTTCGTACTTTACTGTAGTTAGGAATTAATTAGGTATATTTGGATAAAATTTATTGTACTACTTTATAGTATATGTTATAAAGCATATTAAAAATACATTACAATCTATACAACTTGAAAAGTTTACTATAACTGAAAAATTATGCTAATGTAACATAAATTGATTTAAAAAAATTATATATATGATTATTTTTATCTTAAAAGTGAAAGGATTAAACTTTTTAGTGAAAATTGAATGTGTGTGTTTATGTGTAGACACAATGTTATCTTTGCGTATAAAATGAGTAATGTTTAGATTCATTTTTGAAGGATTTTTTAACACTTTATTGAAAATGTTAATGATCCATATATTTTTTAAGGTAATATACTCAATTAAAAATTTTTATAAAAACTGATAATGATACATGGGGAATAGATGACTAAAAGAGATATAAGATGTAATTTGAAAATTTAAATATATAAGGATATATTGGTAATTTAAATATTTAATTAGGAAAGGATAGAGTGGCCTTTACAATGTTTTATAAGGAAAAAAATAGTAAATCAAAAATTTTTCATATTAATGTATTTTTATTAGTAGAATAGGATAGATAAATATAAATATAAATATAGATATAGCTAGATAGCTATAGATATGTTCAATTTTAAATTTAATTTAAATTACATTGACACCCTTTGTAGATTATTATAATTACAGAGACACCTTTTCGATTATCTGCGAATTAACTTGACACCCTCAATTAGGCATTCTCTTTTAACAGGTGTAAAAAAAATTATGTGATTTTATAGAATTACCTTTCCCAGATTTACTATCTCTCTCATTTTCCATCCCCACACATACACATGACACTCCACATATAACCCACCTCTTTAAGTGCATTTCGTAGATGTTATTCCTTGACTATATCTCTCTCTTGTGTCACCTGTGATATACCGCCATTCGAACCTTCAACCAGTACTAGACGCATGCGCGTGCACACACACACACACTCTCTCTCCCCCTTTCTTTGAGTTGCATACCATTGTTGAAAACCAATCATCCACACTCATTGAGGCCATTCTACCAACCATCACAAACAACCCACTACTGACCACAAGGTATCACCTCCACTTATGCACAAACACGACGCACCCGCACACATGCACATAACCCTAATATTCCTTATTGCCAATTTTTTTGTGGGGTGTTTCTCTAATGTTTATTTGATTTTTGTTGGTCCAAATTACATTAATTTGGTTGTGGCTTTTAAGGTTATTACTATTTATGGGTTTTATTTTGTGGTGGCGATGTGGCGTTATATTTGCAAATATAAGAGAGATAATATTTGGTTGGCGGGTGGGGTGGGGGTGAGAAAGAAATGTGTGGGGGTTAGGGTTTTCATGGTAATGTGGACTTGGATTGATTATTCGATTGCATTGGCATTGGATCTAGTGGCGGATCCACAGTCGGGGCAATTGCCACCACTAGAAGTTTAAAAAATTTTGGGAAGTAAATATAATTTCAAAAATTTTAAAATTTATTAGAATTTTGGCCCACTGAAATTTTTTTTAAAAAAATTTATAAGTAGTTGTGGTATTTTGACAAATATATGGGTCTCACTTATAAATGTAAAAAAAATCATTTAAAAGCCTAAATGCCTCAATTATATGTTAGACTAAATTATTTTGATTTGGTGGTTTGAATAATTTTATTGTGATTGGTTAAGTAATTCTTATACACAAATTTAGTTTAATAGAATAGTAATTGTTTATGTTTGTTTTGATTATTTATTAAAATTCAACTATATATGATTGAACACAATTTTTTTGTTCAAATTTTTTTGTTAGGTGATTAGGTCTTGTAAATAAATTTATAGTAAGCTCTTTTTGTATAGCTCACATGTATATGGATTACGACNATGTTTGTTTTGATTATTTATTAAAATTCAACTATATATGATTGAACACAATTTTTTGGTTCAAATTTTTTTGTTAGGTGATTAGGTCTTGTAAATAAATTTATAGTAAGCTTTTTTTGTTAGCTCTTTTTGTATAGCTCACATGTATATGGATTACGATTTTAACTGACATTCTATTAATAAAACTATACTTTTGTGAGCATTAATAATTTTAATATTCACATGATTTAGGTTGCCCTTACTGAAAAAAATGTTTGGCTCTGCCCCTGATTGGATCTCCAAAATTTTCATTTACGAATTCAAGGTATTGGTTCAATTTGATGATTTTTATTGAATTTTTGACTATATGATAGGTTGAATTTCAGAATTGATCTTGGATATTTTTTTAGTTTTTGTGTGGCATGTTTTTAGAGACTGGTGAAAAAGATAGAGGTGTACAATAGCGGTGCTTGCGGTGGAAGTGTGGGGGTGGAGGAGACTGATTGCCATGGTAATTGTAGTATGAGATTTGGGGTTATGGAATTTATATTGCAATGGAGAGAGAGAGATGCTCGTTTGGGTACNTAA